TTATCCATCATGATCAAGTAGGATTCATCCTGGGGATGCAAGGCTGGTACAACATACACAAGTCTATAAATGTAATTCACCACATAAACAGAATCAAAAACAAAAACCACATTATTATCTCAATTGATGCAGAGAAGGCATTTGACAAAATTCAACAGCCCTTTATGCTAAAAACCCTCAATAAACTCGGTATCGATGGAACGTATCTCAAAGTAATAAAAGCTATTTACGACAAACCAACAGCCAATATCATACTGAATGGGCAAAAACTGGAAGCATTTCCTTTGAAATCTAGCACTAGACAAGGATGCCCTCTTTCACCACTCCTATTCAATATAGTACTGGAAGTTCTAGCCAGAGCAATCAGGCAAGAAAAAGAATTAAAGGGTATTCAAATAGGAAAGGTGGAAGCCAAATTGTCTCTATTTGCCAATGACATGATAGTATACCTAGACGACCCCATCGCCTCAGCCCAAAAACTCCTGAAACTGATAAGCAACTTCAGCAAAGTCTCAGCATATAAAATCAATGTTGAAAAAATCACAAGCATTTCTGTACACCAATAACAGACTTAAAGAGAGCCAAATCAAGAACAAACTGCCATTCACAATTGCTACAAAGAGAATAAAATACCTAGGTATACAACTTACAAGGAATGTAAGGGACCTCTTCAAGGAAAACTACAAACCACTGCTCAACGAAATAAGAGAGGACACAAACAGATGGAGAAACATTCCATGTTCATGGTTAGGAAGAATCAATATTGTGACAATGGCTATACTGCCCAAAGTAATTTACAGAATCAACGCTATCCCCATCAAGCTACCATTGACTTTCTTCACAGAACTGGAGAAAAACCATCATGAACTTCACATGAAACCAAAAGAGAGCCCGCATAGCCGAGTCAATTCTAAGCAAAAAGAACACAGCAGGAGGCATCACACTACCAGACTTCAAACTATACTACAAGGCTACAGTAATCAAAACAGCATGATACTGGTTACTGGTACCAAAACAGAGATATAGACCAATGGAACAGAACAGCGGCATCGGAGGCAACACAACATATCTACAACCATACAATCTTTTATAAACCTGACAAAAACAAGCAATGGGGAAAGGATTCCCTGTTTAATAAATGGTGTTGGGAAAACTGGCTAGCCATGTGCAGAAAGCAGAAACTGGACCCCTTCCTGACACCTTACACTAAAATTAACTCCAGATGGATTAAAGACTTAAACATAAGACCTGGCACCATAAAAACCCTAGAAGAAAATCTAGGCAAAACCATTCAGGACGTAGGAGTAGGCAAGAACTTCATGACCAAAACACCAAAAGCATTGGCAACAAAAGCCAAAATAGACAAATGGGACCTAATCAAACTCCACAGCTTCTGCACGGCAAAAGAAACGGTCACTAGAGTGAATTGGCAACCAACAGAATGGGAAAAATTTTTTGCAGTTTACCCATCTGACAAAGGGCTGATATCCAGAATTTACAAAGAACTCAAACAGATTTACAGGAAAAAAACAAACAAGCCCATTCAAAAATGGGCAAAGGATATGAACAGACACTTTACAAAAGAAGACATATATGAGGCCAACAAACATATGAAAAAGTGCTTATCATCACTGGTCATTAGAGAAATGCAAATCAAAACCACATTGAGATACCATGTGGTTTTGGTACACACATTGAGCCAATTAGAATGGCTATCATTAAAAAATCTGGAGACAACAGATGCTGGAGAGGATGTGGAGAAATAGGAACACTTTTACACTGTTGGTGGGAGTGTAAATTAGTTCAACCATTGTGGAAGACAGTGTGGCGATTCCTCAAGGCCTTAGAAATAGAAATTCCATCTGACCCAGCAATCCCATTACTGGGTATATATCCAAAGGACTATAAAGTGTTCTACTATAAGGACACACACGAATGTTCATTGCAGCACAGTTCACAATAGCAAAGACCTGGAACCAACCCAAATGCCCATTGATGATAGACTGGACTGAGAAAATGTGGCACATGTACACCATGGAATATTATGCAGCAATAAAAAATGATGAGTTTGTGTCCTTTGTAGGGACATGGATGAATCTGGAGAACATCATCCTCAGCAAACTGACACAAGAACAGAAAATGAAATACCGCATATTCTCACTCATAGGCGGGTGATGAAAAATGAGAACACATGGACACAGGGAGGGGAATACTACACACTGGGGTCTATTGGGGGGAATAGGGGAGGGACAGCGGGGGGGGGGCGGAGCTGGGGAGGGATAGTCTGGGGAGAAATGCCAAATATGGGTGAAGGGGAGGAAGGCAGCAAAACACACTGCCATGTGTGTACCTATGCAACTATCTTGCATGTTCTTCACATGTACCCCAAAATCTAAAATGCAATAAAAAAATTATATGATATAGCGAATCAGGGCATGCATCCTGTGTAATGGCACAAGGCTGCACAGTCAAAAGGGCTCTTCACTTACTTTAACGCTCTGCTGTTATCACCTTGCAATTCTTAATTTTTGAGCAAGTGGCTCTGTATTTTTATTTTGCACTGAGCCCTACAAATTATATAGATAGTCTGTGGTCAGTTCAGATCCGTGGTATTTGACAGCATCAATTAAGAGGAAAAAGTAAATTTGTAATTACTGCAGCAGAACAACAAATATATAATGATTAAATGTGAAAAGGATGTGAAAATGGAACTTAAGAGTCTTGTTTTCTACAAAAATGGTGGTGATTCCCATGGGAAAGATAGTGAAAAAGATTTGCTTGAGAGAGAAGGAGAACAGCTCCACCAGCCAGAAGAACTGGCATTTGAGAAGTTCATCCCTAAGGAGAGATCTGACATACAAACTACTTCTGAGTCCTCAAAGCAGTAGTAGTTAAGGTGTAAGAAATTAGAGAACACAAAGGAGTAAATAAATAAAGTGGGGAAAGGAGAGGCTTTGGGTCGTAACTGAGGGCTGGAACCAGGTCATTTTACTACATTCTGTTCTTTCTTTCGAGACTTATCCCTGGACTAGGGCGTTTTTCTGGAAGAAGCTTGTAAGAACCAAGCCTGGTTTAAGAATTTGGGTTTAAGAATTCCAAAGTATGGAAGTCAGAGATAATCTAATCTGACTTCCATACTTTGGAGCTCAGAAGCCAATGTTCTAGAAAGCTAAGACAGTGATTCTAAATTCCCTTTTTTAAATACATTGAAATGTGTTGTCTAAAAATTAAAAAATAAAAATATCATTGGTATTTTGTGACGACAGAAAGAGGCCTTTGTTTCTACTAGATACTGTCACGACTTCTCACCTTAACTCTTTCATTGTAAAAGATGAAGATAATAATACCTTCTAGGGAACGTTCTTCCCCATTCTCCATTGTGGTAGAAATTAATCACTGCCCAAGACTCCTGGTTGAGGGGCTGAGTGAAGTCCAGGCCGTCTCCAGCCTGGGGTTGGGCTACCCCTTTGGTAGGGAGGAATGCCTTTCTATGTTTCTAACTTACCCAAAGGCTGCATCCTTGTAAAACAGTGTTCTGAATGTGATCGATCATATTCATGAAGTGCCTGGCACACAGTATGCACTCAGTAAATTTTTATGAACTATGCACTGAACATTTATTATAAGCTCATTTAGTTTGTAACAAACACAAAAGGGCAAATCTAGAACTTACTGGTAATTCTTATAGAAAGGACACACCTATGCTCAATACTTTATTTTTATTTATTTATTTATTTGAGATTCAGTCTCCCTCTGTTGCCCAGGATGGAGTGCAGTGGTGCGTCTCAGCTCACTGCAACCTCTGCCTTCAGGGTTCTATCGATTCTCCTGCCTCAGCCTCCTGAGTAGCTGGGATACAAGTGCCTGCTACCATGTCTGGCTAATTTTTTGTATTTTTAGTACAGTCGGGGTTTCATCATGTTGGTTAGGCTGGTCTCGAACTCCTGGCCTCAAGTGATCCACCCACCTCGGGTCTCCCAAAGTGCTGGGATTACAGGCGTGAGTGAGGCAACATGTCTGGCCTGTCCAATACTTTCAACATTGCTCTGGATCTTACTGTAAAATTCTTGGAAACTGCTGTGATTTTAAGATAACCAGGAATTTATAACTGGTAGAAAGTACTATCCCAATAGTTATTTATGGTTTCTGCGCAATGCTGGGGCAGAAGGGTGGGTACAGAGAAACAAACGTCACTGGAACTATCAAGTTACAAAATCCCTTGAGTAGGAAAACAATGATTTCCTTGATTAAGAGTTTATTTATTTATTTTACTATATTTAAGTTTATACTACTGTTTCTTCCTTACCAGGGAAGAATTTTGTGATTTTTACCGTTGGACCATTTTCTTTTTCCAGAAAGTCTAAACTAGCATCTAGCTCGTCCTGATTAGAGTCAGGCATTGCCAAGGCCTGGGTTGGCATCTCCCAGATCCGGCTGCCGCAACCGCGACCACAGCAGGTCTGGAGGACCGGGAGAGGATGCGAGGAGGCAAAGCCCTCCTCGAGCTGAGATCCGGCCTCTGCCCACGTTGCCAGCGGAATCACGTCTTCCAGCCGGTACTCAGCTGGACCTCTCGCAGCGCTCTCTGCAAGCGAACACAGGAGTTACTTTCTCCGATATGGTCCACAACCAGAAAAGTTTGTCTCTCGGGACTACTGTGCTGAAAACCCCTACTGGTCAGGTTAGGACACCGAGGTTAGCTCTGCACTCTAGCTTCACGGTCAATCGCCCGCAGAGCTTTCAAAAAATACCGACGCCCACTGGTCCTAACTAGGTCCTATTACCTAGGACCAAAGTAATCAGGCTCCCAGAAAAGCGGCCCGGGCCTGGGTATTTTTTAAACTTCTCTAGTGAACCAGGACTGAGGGCCTTGTGAGGGCACCGCAAAAATCTCGTGGGCGTGGAGGCCCCGCCCCTCCCCAGCTCCGCGCTTCCCACAGCTGGCTCCCCGCCCCCGCCTCACCCCACCCTCTGAGCACCTCGCCCCGCCCCGCCGCGCTCCGGCGCAGGCGCACAGGGGACGGTCGCTGCCCATGGGGAGCGGAAGCGTCTCTGCGACGGCGCTGTCTCTCAGAGGCGGGTCCAGTAAAGCCAGCGAGGCCCTGCTGACCATCGGGGAAGGAGGCGTGGATATGGAGCCGGCGGCTGCAAAGCCCCGGGCCCGCGCCGCTGCCTAGCGCGTCCCGGGGGTTCCGTGGGGACGCGCCTGCCGCCGCAGCTCCGGGACCTGTAGAACCCCGCGCTGCGCGGATGGCCCTGCTCCCGCTCCCCGCGCTCATCCTGCTCCTCCTCACGGCCGCTGTTGTCAGGTGCCAGGAGCAGGCCCAGACCACCGACTGGAGGGCCACCCTGAAGACCATCCGTAACGGCATTCACAAGATAGACACGTACCTGAACGCCGCCTTGGACCTCTTGGGAGGCGAGGATGGTCTCTGCCAGTATAAATGCAGTGACGGTGAGGGGTTACCCCGGCTCAGCGAGGGGTTGTGCTTTCGGGGGATTGGGGTGACGGAGGTCATGGAGGTGTGAGTGGCAGATGCAAGGTGGACCTTGACGGTGCCCTTCGGCTGTGGAAAAACTTAACTACTGCTAGAATCTTGCCGTTCTGGTGATGAGCAAGCAGGGTACAAATTCGCACCGCTATTGTTAGAAAGTGAGAGGCCACCTGAGTGTACTGTCCGTTCCGTTTTCATTGTTTCTGAATTAACCTTTTTTCTCCCAACTGCACCAAGTTGCCCAAGAACTTACCGACGTAGGAATCTTGGGAATGGAGTGGAAGAGACTGATTTTAGCTCTATTTTTGCTTTTGTAAATTGGATGAACATGCGAAACTGAGAATTTAAAAACCATGCCGTATTAACTTTCTCGATAATTGATATTAGATGTTTTTTTTCTGCAAAGCACAGAAAATAACTTGCGACCTTTGTACAGACTTTTGGTGTACTCGAGTGTTGAGAAAGAGTTCCGTAACTCTTCTTTCCTTAGATATCAGTGACCCCCCCCATTGTTAGTTAACGTTAATAGTTATTTTCATTTACTATTTTAATATTTTTTGAACTTTCTCTTTGAATCTGAGAACTTGTTTGGTGGCAGTATGAGTACTAATCAACTCAGTACTTCAGGCAGAGATGGTTCTTTTGTAGCACATTTTTGAATGCTTAAATATTTTAATAGGTCAGAAAAATATTGGACTTTTGTTTGGAAATTGAAAATGTTAGGCGAGCACTTGGGAGGTCATGTTTCCAATAAGATTAGACAAGGTTAGAGTCTCATTAATGCTGGCAGCTGAAAATAATAGGGGATCCAGTGACTTCATTGTTGGAACCTGATTGTATGTAAAAGAACTGATATTATGTAAAGCTGTGATGCCACCTGCTCCCTGCAATTTTCAAGATAATTTCTTGTTTTATGTTAATAGAAGTAAAGGATGAATTGTATCTTGCATGCTTTAAAGCGCTGAACAGGTGCTGAGACATGTTTCATTGCTTCTTAAATTTGTGCCTAGGGCCGGGCTCGGTGGCTCACGCCTGTAATCCCAGCACTTTGGGAGGCCGAGGTGGGTGGATCACAAGGTCAAGAGATTGAGACCATCCAGGTCAACATGGTGAAACCCCGTCTCTACTAAAAATACAAAAAATTAGCTGGGCGTGGTGGCGCGTGCCTGTAATCCCAGCTACTCGGGAGGCTGAGGCAGGAGAATTGCCTGAACCCAGGAGGCGGAGGTTGCGGTGAGCCGAGATTGCGCCATGACACTCCAGCCTGGGTAACAAGAGCCGTCTCAAAAAAAAAAAAAAAAAAAATTTGTGCCTAAACGTTACCACCAGTATGCTTTATAAAGATATTTTTGTTCTTGTGGAACTTGTTAGGAGGACTGGGTGCATAATTTAAGGATCACGTGATTGCCTTTCCTGAAGCAAATGTTAGTTTTACTTAGTCACTTCCATTTATTATACAATTGTTTAAGTCCCAACTGTGCGTCAGATGTTCTAATTTGAGATTCAGTAGTTAATAAAACAGACTAAAGTCTCTGTGGAGCTTGACGTTCTGGTGAGGGAGAGATGAGTAATTAACTAGTAAATAAGTAAAATCAGGGAAGTTTGGAGTCTGAGCAGGGAAGATGAGGGACCATGCTGGAGGCAACTTACTCATCTAAATGGGTTGTTCAGCAGGGGCCTCACTGATGAGAGAATCTCCAAGTGGTAAGGGGGACACTGTGGTAATTTGGAGAAAAAGCATTCCAGGCAGAGGGACTAGCAAATGCAATGAACCTGAGGAGAAAGGCCAGTCAAGGGTGACTCTGAAGGTTTTGGCCTGAGCCAAAGGAAGGATACAGTTGCCATTTACAGAGGTAGGGAAGGCATGGAAGGAGTCGTCTTCATAAATTTATTAGTCCAGAGTTCTAGAGTTTATTTACTTTTAAAATATCCCTGAAGTCGAATGAATACTAGTCTTGTTAAAATACTGTTTTAATCTCTTTCATTTATTTTTTATTAATATTTTTGAGGCAGGGTCTCCCTCTGTGCCCAGGCTAGAGTGCAACGATGTGATCATAGCTCACTGCAACCGCCAACTCCTGGGCTCAAGCAATTCTCCTGCCTCAGCCTCCCAAGTAGCTAGGACTATAGGCATGCCCCCACTACACCTGGCTTAGTCTTTCTTTTTAGTCTTTTTCATTTTCTATAGGCTTCTCAAAATGTACTATTTGGAGTTTAGAGGAAGGTCTCTGACACAAAAAAACACAAAGGAATTTGAGAATTTAAGAAACATTATATGCGTCAGTGAAAATTTTTTTGTTCAGTGGACATGTGGTTTCAAGTCCAAGTCACCATACTGAGAGGTAAATCAATCTCAATGAAAAAAAAAAATTTTAGGCCAGGTGTGGTGGCTCACACCTTTAATCCCAGCACTCTGGGAGGCTGAGATGAGCGGATCACTTGAGGTCAGGAGTTTGAGACCAGCCTGGCCAACATGATGAAACCCCATCTCTACTAAAAACACAGAAATTAGCTGGGATGGTGGTCGCACCTGTAGTCCCAGCTGCTTAGAAGGCTGAGGCAGGAGAATAACTTCAACCGGAGAGGCAGAGGTTGCAGTGAGCCTAGAATAAATAAAAGATAAATAAAAATTAAATACAATTTAAAAATTGCTATTACTTGAACAGTCTCCCTGGAACAATGATTCAGCCTTTCCTATATCTTGGAATTCAGGTGTCCAAATCAGAACCAAACAGAACAATCCCAAATCTGAAGAAACATGGTGATTAAGGGGTGTTTTTAGTTATAAGAAACAGATCAAGGGAGCTTTAAAAAAAAAAGAGAGACTGAGTTAATGGTAGGGAGAGTTTGGTCAAATAAAGGGCACGTGTCCTTGCTTTATCTAAGGGACAGGCATTATGGAGACTATGCTCCCTTACTTTTGGCCACCACTCTTGGGTAGGAAAAAGGCCTTCTTTTCAGAGTTAAGTATTTAGGGAAATACATTTGATGATTGTTATTTTTTTAAACTTTTTTCTCCCTGACAGCAAGGAAGATTTAAGAAAGAAAACTTTTCAATTTCCTTTGAAAAATAGAACACAAAACTGGCTTGTAAATGTTTTTAGAACTATGAATAAGTCCTTAATTCATTCAGTGATACATGTTTTCACAGGATCCCTCTGGCTGTTGTGCTGAGAACAAAAGGGGTCAAGAGGGTTGGGGAGTTAGAATGAAAGCAGGGGGACACGTGCAGGAGTCCAGACCAAAGACAGGGTGATTTTGTTCAAGTTGGTAGCAATAAAGGTAATGAGAAGTAGTTGGATTTTGGATATATTTTGAAGGAAGGACCTCAAAGATTTGCTGATGGCTTGGAAGTTGGGTGTGAGTTAAGTCAAAAATAATACCACAGCTTTTGGCCTGAATAACTGGAAGGATTGCCATTAACTGAAATGGGAAAGAACAGTTTTCAGGCATTAGGAAAAATAACATATTTGTATGCTTTCGAGAATGGTTCAGTGGAGAGTAGAAATACTGATGAGGGAGGGAATTGTTGGAGTCATAGCCTTGGGTAAGTGAGAGGGGATGGTTTCTAGCATATACATGGAGAGTTTGGCCAAGAACATTTAGCATAGCCCTGTTAATAGGAGCAGGGGTAGAGGATATGATAACTGATGGCTGATGCATTTAAGTGTGTGGATGTTCAGGTTCTCCTGATTGCCTACTTTTCTAGAAATTGGGAATGGGGATGTTGGAGATTTGAGGAAAATAGGAAAGTGAACAGACTACAAAAATCAAGTCGCATAAGGACCCTATGGAGATTAATGATCATGAATACTTAAACGTCCCAAGTGTTTGGGAGTGCAGGTTGGAATCTTACAAAACTTGGTGGTGAGACCTTTGTGTGACCCAGCAGACAACTTCTTGTGCTTGTCATCTTCATATTCTTTCCAGTGAAAACAGCTGGTCTGCTTGGAAGTAGTTGCATCGAATTTAGAAAAAATACATGGAAAAGAATCAAGTTTGTCCCAGTCTACGAAAATCTTTAGATTTCAGCAGTTGGTATAAATGATAAAACAAACAATTGAGGAGCTATTTGTTAAGTCAAAACTTGAAATTGGTGAATAGTCCTTTCCATGCAATTATACACAGGGGTTTTGGTTTGTATCCACTTGCAAATTTTAGAGGACAGTGGCCCCAACACATCATGGTGTTTTGGTGTGACTCTGATTTTGTTTCTTCCATTATTGAGTTTTTCCTTTACTTGTAAAATCTGGAACCAGTAGAAATGCTAATTTTTAAAATGCTTAGCCATTTATAACACTATAACAAAATTTAAAATATTAATACATTTGTAATGTTGGTATCTGAATCAACTTAATCTCTAATAAAGAACTATCTATAGGCTGGGTGTGGTGGCTCATGCTTGTAATCACAGCACTTTGGGAGGCTGAGGCAGGTGGATCACCTGAGGTCAAGAGTTTAAGACCAGCCTAGCCAACATGGTGAAACCCCGCCTCTACTAAAAATACAAAAAATTAGCTGGTGTGGTGACAGGTGCCTGTAATTCCAACTACTTGGGAGGCTGAGGCAAGAGAATTGCCTGAACCTGAGAGGTGGAGGTTACAGTGAGCTGAGATCGCACCACTACACTCCAGCCTAGGCAACGAGAGTGAAACTCTGTCTCAAAAAAAAAAAAAAAAGAACTGTCTATATAACTTCCCTGGTTCAGAAATAACTATTTTAATTTAAAGGTGAATTTAGAACTTCAAAATACTTCAGAATTTCTCAGGAAACTAGTTACTTCCAAGTTTTCAGTCTTTGCTGCAAATAAAGAATTAATTTCATCAAAGAATGCTTTCCCATTTCTTTAATCTGATAATTTCTTGGGTACCCACTGTGTGCTAAATATCTTCTAAGTGAGCAAGATTAAGTTCCTTTCTCCATAGAAACTGACTAATGTTAATATTAATTTGGTCAGTAA